ACCGGTTGGTGTTACCAACCGGTACTAATGTCCTACGCGCACACGGGTCTAGCTCATGCCACGTGGTGTCACTTTAGCGCCGGTTCGTGACGAACCGGTACTAAAGGGGGGGGCGGGGGGGCTTTAGTCCCCACTCTTTAGTGTCGGTTGGCAAACAGGCACTAAAGGCCGTTACGAACCGACACTAAAGGCCGGTTCTGCACTAGTGTCATTAAACACCCAATGGTTTTGTCTGATTATTTCTATCTTAATTATCAAGGCAACCCAGCGCGGTGGATAGGGCTTTCGGTTAGACAACTGTCTATTGATGCAGGATGCATGCTGATCAAGACGTAATTTGGACACATCCCCTACTTAGATACATAGCAAGCACATCTTGATAAATAACGTCCATGGCACAAATTAAGATCATGATGATCCCGTCACAAATATATGGTTGTAAGCATAAGTCCTCATACCCAGTGCCTATTTTTATTATAAGTGTTTCTAATGTCAACTTGATTCTGATCCGGTCAAAAGCTGGAATTTAATTTTCTTGCAAAATCTTGTTAAAATCCTTGCTTAAAGGGCACCATCCTCTCATGGGTTCGATAACTCGGGTTCACCTCTAGGGAAAAAGGCGAGAATCTTTTTTGCTCCTTTACGAGATCACTAAAGGGACTAATCTCGTGGCCAATTCCTAGGTAAAGAAAACGTTCGGCATACGTTGGTTGTATCAGTGGCAGATAGGACATGAGATAATACCAATCCTACCTTTAGCTCCTTGTGGGTTTGACACTTCATACTTATCACCTCCATCATTGGAAAGTGCTACGACAATTACTTGCACTTGGGGATTACCAGCCATCAAGGCGTAGAGGATATTCGGCGTGTTATCTGTCAATGTACTCGTGCTCAGGAATTATGTAACCGCCTACGCATTTCAGGTCTCATTGATTCGGCGATCCCGGTAGGTCCGGTTCGGTAATTTTTTTAACATATTCTTCCCTTGCTGATGAACAACTAAGTTTATACCCAAGTCTGAATGCCAAGCAAGTTCTATCTGTTGAGAGTTGATATCTTTGTTGGACTCCATGTCAAATTACACACAATGAACACCCCCCCCCCCACCCCACCCCACCCCCTCCACACACACACACACACACCACCAAATGACTATGGCCAATCTCAATGTTGTCTATTGCGAACAACTTCCAGAAGACACTTTCCCGGGTCTCTTGAGCATAATTTGAAATGGTGTAAACATGGTCCAAGGTTCATTGAACTGAATGTGGTGTTGCATTCTTTCTGGATGGAGTGGGCGCAACTGCTATTATCTTACAAGATGATAGAGGTAATTTCTTGGCTACTCAATGCAAGTTTATCCCATATGATGCCGACATAATTACCACAGAAGCAATGGCTATGACAGATGGTCTGGAACTTGCTCCCTTGGCTTCAATCGGATAGAGGCGGAATCTGACTCTCTTCAAGTGATTAATTTTTGCACTGGGCAAACAAGATGGTGGGATGCGGCAACGACAATTTTCAGGAGCGCGTGGATGCAACTAAAATGATTGGGGAAATCATATTTAAGCATTGTTTTCGTACAACTAATCAAGTGACTCGTGTGCTAGCAAACAATAGTTTTTTTTAAGTTGCTAGCAAACTATAGTTATTGTAAGAAGTCCTTTTTTTAGTTAGTTGGATGAGCCTCCTGGCTTTGTTGTCAGCAAACTCACGGACGATGTAATATTATTTTGATTTTAATAAAGCTAGCGATGAAGACATTCTCTAAAGAAATAGATACTCCCTTCATTCCAATGAATAAGGCGGCACGCTTCCTAAAATTCAACTTTGACCGTAAATTACGTCAATAGTATGTATCTTTGTGACTTCAAAAATATACTATTGAAAACTTCATTTCAATACGAATTCAATGATATACTTTTTACTACATATAACCCACATTTGATTGGTCAAATTTATGATCAAAGTTGAATTTCAAGATGCGTGTGCGTCTTATTCATTGGAATGGAGGGAGAGTAGAAGATAGATATAGTAGTAGATAGATGTTTAAATGAACGTAATAGGTTATAATTTGTCTTTAAGCATAATCCCACTTAAAGTGAACGTCTTCAAGCAAAATTAGCATGCTTGCCCAATAAATGGCGTCAAGACTGCACCCTGTATATATATGCACACAAGAATAAATGTTGTTGGTGACCCGTGACAGGTTGAAAGACCTTGACCGCGCACGGAATGCCAGTAACCATCCGTACAGTTCACCACAAACACCAGCTAACCGCATATAGATATGAGAGAGACGTGCACGTAGCTAGTAGCTGAATTCAGAGTCTTGCAAGCTGAGCACTAGTTTGAGAGAGAGCCAGAGGGTATTATTTACTATTTTTAACAATTTCGCTTTTGGTAAAAATAGTTACATACACATGATTGTACCTCAACAAAGCGATCAAATTTGACGAAGCTACTAGTACCAAAGTCAGTGTCATCTTCGCCATCCCTTTCCATTGTACAATCGACGTTAATACCATATCTTTCATGGTGTAAACATGCAGGTACCATGGCATAACGATCGTCAACGGATCATCAACGATCCAGCACCAGCAGTCTCTCCTCTGGGCCGGATTAGCGAGCATTAACACTTTTAGTTGGCAGCTAGCAGAAGAGACGTGAAGCAGAGACAAGGATATGGTTCTTCCTTAATTTAAAATCGGAGCTGACCAATCCAATCCTATTATTATAGCACACACGTACGGCGCACCCCTCGAGTGACTGGGCAAACAATTAAGCAGCAAAAATGGACGCCGCCACCCTGCGGAAGCGGCCGCTCTCGGTCAAGACGGCCGCCGGACGCGAAGGGCGGACGGCGCCGGAAGCAGAGCTGGGGGAGCCGGTCAGCCCCTCCGCGAGGCTCGTGGAGGACTTCTACATCATCGTCCTCATGGGCGCCTCCACGCCCCTCAACCTCCCCGCCCTCCGCGCCGGCATCGAGGCCCAGCTCGCACGCTACCCACACTTCCGCAGCATCCAGGTACGTAGCGTACGTTCCATCGCAGCATCGCCATGCATGCACGCCTCCACGCCAGGACACGTGTCTTTTTTTCTACTATAAATGAGTCGCCGTTCGATATGGTCGCCGGCCGGTGCAACGCCGCGGCGTGCGTACGCGCAGGTGACGGACAAGGACGGCAACCTGCGGTGGGCGCCGACGACGGTGAACGTGGACAACCACCTCATCCGCCCGACGCTGGACCCGGCCGCCGTGGCGGCCAACCCGGACAAGGCCGTGGAGGACTACGTGGCGTCGCTGTCCACGCTGCCCATGGACCGGTCCCAGCCGCTCTGGGAGTTCCACCTCTTCGACTTCCCGACCTCCGAGGCGACGTCCACCGCGGCCATCCGCGTGCACCACTCCCTCGGGGACGGCATGTCGCTGCTCACGCTCCTCATGGCCTGCACGCGCAGCGCCGCCGACCCGACCAGGCTGCCGGCCATGCCGCCGCTGCCATCGCGCACGGGCGCCATCTACCAGCGCCCGCGCCCTTCGGCGGGCGTCCTGGCGATCGTCGCGTGGGTCTGGTCGTTCGTCGTGCTCGCCTGGCACACCGTGGTGGACGTCGTCGGCTTCTTCGCGACCATACTGTTCTTGAAGGATCCGCACACGCTGTTCAAGCGGGTGAACCACGCCGAGACGCAGCGCAAGCGCATCGTGCACCGGAGGCTTAGCCTCGACGACGTCAAGTTCGTCAAGAACGCCATGAAATGCGTAAGAGCCTCTTTTTTTTCATTTTCCTTGAGATGCTCTTGCATATACTCCCTCCGTTTTTATTTACTCCGCATATTAGTTTGACTGAAGTCAAACTTTATAAAGTTTGTCCAAGTTTATAAAAAACAATATGAATATTTGCAGTAACAAATTTATATGATGTGTCAGAAAATATATGCAATGATGAATCCAATGATATATATTTGATTGTGTATAAGTTAATATATTTTCTACAAACTTGTTAAAAGTATATAAAGTTTGACTTTCGGCAAACCTAATATGAGGAGTAAATAAAAACGGAGGGGGTATTTGTGAGTGACATGTTTGAAATGATTAGTAGAATTCTTAAACATGCATAGCCTTAGACCTCACGACTTCTATCTAAAACTATTTTGTTATCTCTTCTGTAAGAATATGGTATGCATTTTGTGTACTCTCTTGAAAAATAAAGGTGATTTCCAATGAAGAGTAGCACTAGCGATTAAGATACATCAACCTTGGATTTAAGAACTAAACTACATGATGCATATGTGCTTCATTTGTTGTAGCTAAACTTCTTTCATCTTCTATATCTAAATAGTTAGTCCACTTACTAGCTTTTTCTACATATGGGTGCTTCCCACCTCAATTATTGACAGATGTCGGATCCAAATTGTGTCCATGTGTGCTTCATTTGCATGTGCTCATAAGTTACTTATTTTGCATTAATCTATCCATGAACCATGCCACATCATCAAATCATGCATGTGTTCATTAGCATTTTTGCAAATCTATCAATTCAAACCATGACACCTCATCAAGTCAATCACGTCTTCCTTAAGTTTTTATTTGTTTATATCTCATTTTGTCACATACTTATTAGGTTCTATTGTTTCTGAAATGCAAAATAGGAACAATTGCGTGCCGCATAAGCAAACACTTATAATGGTACAATGAGAAATCATGTGTTCTAGTATCAAACACCTTTTAGGAATTTGTGATCAAATGGTCAATATATTGGAAATTTCACTCTCGTACCAACTATTGGTTCATTCTATATTTGGCCCTTGAACTCCAATACAAGGCAATAATTGACCTTAAAGATTTTAAACCTGGCAAAGTTGGTTCCTAATATTAGTCGAAACAAATGATGGTGGTAATCTTGCACGCGTTTAGCACAATTAGAATGTTGGTGGCGAGATATTTTATATTGAAATTGAGGGGTCGATATTTCAAAAAAAAAATAGTGGTCAGATTTTAGAAATGATCAATAGAATGATGATGTTTTTTCTTACTGTTATTTGTCTTTTTTATTTATTTATTTTGCAAATGTGTTATTTGTCTATTCAATGCGTGGTTGACCTGTTGCTTGCAAGGAGCAGAACAAACATAAAAAGGAGTACTACATTTTTGTCCTTGTTTGCTGCAGACAGTTAACGATGTGTTGATTGGAGTCACATACGCTGCCCTGTCGCGCTATCACTTCCGAAAGTCAGGTGGTACAAGCTGATTTATTGTTGATTCCTGCCAGAATAGCGACGGCCCTACTAACTGTGCCGTTGCGTTGTCCCCTCTTATTTATCAGGTGAAACCGACACTGGCAAAGAGATACGCGTGCGCTCAATGCTTCTTGTCAACTTAAGGCCCACCACAAGCCTACACGTAAGACAATATAATCTCGGTAACATGCTCTTTGAGCATTATTATCCATGATCAACATTTCGTTCAACAATTACACAGTTAATGCAGTTTGAGAGTGCTCTCAAATACCAATTCGGTGGAGTAACAAAAATTAATGTAAATGGCATCAATTTTCCATCACGAATTTTATTTTTCTGACGAACATTTGGTGAAAAATGTATCTTGAAAGTTAAAGGCACTGGGGTCATAAGGATCACCAAAGATCGAATACACATGAATTGTGTGTTTCTTTTTTTCGGACAAAATGAATTCGGTCTTCCCGTAATAAAGCTGAAGAATAGAATGGTTTCTTGCTACGCGTGAGCAGGCATGTGTTGATATGATAAAGTCGGGCAAAGAAAGCCACGTGAAATGGGGAAATGAACTTGGGTTCATCATCCTTCCGTTCTTCATCGGCATGCACAGCGACCCGCTCGACTACGTTCGCAAGGGGAAGAAGGTTGTGGACAGGAAGAAGAGCTCACTGGAGGTGGTATTCACACATGTCGCCGCAGAAGTGATCTTCAAAGTGTTTGGACTGAAGGTAACATTTTGGTCCTCTGTGTCACAGTGCTAAGTGCTAAACATTTAGCTATCCAAGAGAAATGTTTGGCGGCTAATTCTCAAGAGTACAAGACCAGTGCCTCTTAACTATCCTGTTTTCTAAAGGGACCGCTGCACTCAAATTTTGAGCCATTTTGGGTTCTTGTTTCTAACGGCCTTGCCACATCTGACGCGAACAGGCAGCTTCGGCTATCTTCCATCGTATGATCTCCCATACCACCATATCGTTCGCCAACATGACCGGCCCGGTTGAACAGGTGGAGTTTTGTGGGCATCCAATCGTCTTCATCGCCCCTAGCGGCTATGGACCGCCAGAAGTAAGTCCTCCAAAAATATTACTCTGCACTACAGTTAAATAAATTAATTGATATGTTAGTGTCTTGTGTGCGCCAGGGTTAAATAAAGTACTCCCTCAGTCCCACAATATAAGACGTTTTTGCAAGCTATATTATCTTGAAAAAACGTCTTATTATGGGAAGTAGGGAGTAGTTAACATGTCAGTGCCCTACATCATCATATCCGTCAAGTATTTCCTTGTTTAGATGAGCATCACTGTCACAAGTTGATTACTAAAACAACGTAAATTTTCTACATGAAAAAGAAAAAACATACCATGAACCCCCGAATAAAAGGTAACTATGCCCAGGCATAGGTAGGGGTGTTCAAACGCGGGTTTGGTAATCCGTTGAAAACCAGTACAGGCAAGTAGCGAGGCCGCAAGGGTATTGGGGTCCATACTTCAAAACAGTTACAAGCGAGCGGTTAGGGCCGTACATAACGGTTTTACACGGTTGGCCAACCCGCAATTGAACAACCCTGGGTATAGAAGTTCTTTACCCAGGTATTTATAAGTGTGTGCTGAGTTAGTGATGAATAATCAATTTAGCAGGTCGAAGTGTTTTATGGCATGGAGTTTGTGTTAATTCATAATTAATTGTTTGGTTTGCTTGTGTAGGCCCTAACCGTGAATTATCAAAGCTATGTCAACACCATCATGATAAATCTAGCACTGGATGAGGGACACTTTCCTGACTATGATGAACTTTTGGATGACTTTGTTGAATCCCTTGAGCATATTAAGAATGCAGCTTCACGCCTTGGAATGCATCATAGGAAGGCCTAAAGCTATTTGCATAAGTGCAACATATTCATGATTTCGCTACTGTACCATTCAATGTTACTGATGGACTATACTCCCTTTATCCAGAAATGTAAGGTGTATAATTATGCTTGCAGTCAACGACCACCAGTACGTGTAAAAGTACATGGAATGAGCATGCACGAATAATATTATTGTATGTCTTGCAATATTCATTTCTGTTATATATCTTTTCACATTTTAACACGCATATACTATCAAAAATTATAGTCAAAATCGTGCATTCAAGACTGAAAAGTCAAACATGTCTTGCATTTCCGACGAAGGGAGTATGTTTATAGCAACTAAACCTAGAAACTCAACCAGCAAACATCGAGTGAGTATGGCTCAGGATTTCCTAGAGGGAACCCTATAGTTAATTTATCAAATTCTAAAAAAGTTGAATAAAAAAAGGTAGGTTGACTATTGACTCACCTTGTGTCATCCGCAAAACAGAAAATAAACACCCGCAATATTACTCATCTTCTTCAAAGTCCATAAGGAAATCAGTAAGGTTCTCAGACTCATTAATAGCGTCTTTAAGTGACATCTGATCTTTCTTTAACTTTTCCTGGAAAGATAAAGAAGAAGCATTATGTGGAATAGAAGTTGCCACAGTTGTGTACGGCGTACTCTGAACATGTATCACCATATAATGATATAAATAGTAAAAAGACTCAAAATTTCCATTGATTTACACGAAAAGAAACTAAAACAAATGCACACAATTAGGTAAGACATCCAATATGACCAACAAGAATTTCATTGTTTCAGTGTTACTATAAGCCAAAGGACATAATCAATCTGTTTCCATCAGAAAATGCTTATAATAAAAATGTACCTTTGGTTTTTCGTCCTGCCCAGTAGTCTTTAGAACACTCCAGTTCTGACTCACTTTCCCTTCAACTTCCACAGCCTCATCGCCGCCCTCTTCCTCATCCTATAGATAAAGTAGACGATTTCAACGAATTATCAACTTTGATAGGACAAGTATTGAATAGACATCTATTTAGTGCCCAGTGTTACCAAAAAACACAACATCCAGCTCCCCACCAGCATATAGCAAACTGACTATTCTTCTATTGTTGGGGTTGCACATAATAAAAGCATCCATCCAATATTACAACTACAACTATACAGTGTCTACGTTCCAACCAGTAAAGTAGTTCAGTAATATACCTCTAGTGACTCGGGCAGTGCGACAGCTTTGTCAACCTCCTCCTCATCATCACTATCTTCATTGAACTTTCGAAAAGTAGAAAATATCATTGTCAAATGATAACCATTTTTAATGTATAAGATATTTAACACATTCACATAGTTCACATCATTATTTTGTTTTCCTGTAAGATATGCACCGAGGCATTTTTATGAAAACAAAACAAGCACTTCAAATGGACACTCACAGCATGTTCTCCAATATCAACAGCAGTAGCCATGGGATCTTTGACTTCAGGAATGTACTGTCAGCATGGCAGAACATGGATAAGTAAAAGTGAAATTTGCAAGACCTATGATATGCAATCAGTTATAGCCGAATCAGTAGGTGCAGTTTAAGGTGTACCGTGATGTCTTGATCGACGTCTTCCTCCTCTTCCATCAAACGTGCATCCAGTTCTTCCTTCGTGATCATTATCCCATGCTGAAAGGAGAAAGTGCAATACATAAAGTTACGATACAATTGTTAAGGAGTATTAGTATTGGTCTAGGAGTCATTATTAGCCTATGTTTAGTTTCCTTACACCTCAGGTCATGTGTAATATATATATGCCCCTTGGGCCTTCAATAAAGATAAGTTGCTTTCCTAACATGGTATTAGAGCTTAGGTTATTTTTTTTCGGGCGCCGCAACTCGCCCTCCCGATCCAATCTCGCGCCTCGCTGCTGCTCCCTCCCGAGATGTGCGCTGTCTGCCGCCTCAACCGGTTGCCATCAAGATCGACGCCCAAGCAACTCCACCTGCTGCTCCGAGCCGCCCGGCAAGCCTACTGGATCAGGCGCTGCTCAGGCCGCTGCTCCCAAATCTGGAGGACGCCTCTCCAGGTCCGATCGAAGTTGATAGCTGCCTGCACGCCATGATGTCCGCTGGTGCTAGCTGCTCCTTGCTACCATGTGGTGCTGTCCGCTGCTACGTGGTGCTACCTGTAGCTAGCTACTTTCTCCTGCTACGTGTTGCTGGCGTGCTCCTACCTACTGCTTTGCTGCTGCGTTTGCTCCTGCCTGCTAGCTGCTGCCTTTCCGCCACGTACATGGCCGCGTGCTGGCTTCTGCTCCACTCCGATCTTGATTTTTTCAGCAACAAAAAAAATAAGTCCAATGTCTTCTGTATACATGATGGCTTTTGCATCGTTTTCTCGTGTGTGCTTTCCTTCTAGCTTCATATTTTTCGCTGCGTCCACCAAATCCGTTGATATTTTGTGTTTTCTCATGTCATGCGAGTCCACCAAACATATGTCCGTCAGCCTTTTTCTGGTCATTGTCCTCTGTATAGGATTTCTGTGGCCTCTCTTTGCATTGTTGATTTAAGCCCATTCTCTTGCCGCCGAGCTTCTTTCGCCGTCGGTTTTCATGGGCCATGATTCGTTAAGCAATGCTTCTTCTCTTGATGTGCCATCTTCTTTTGACAACCCATCTTCTCTTGATACTTCTCTTGTATCTTCTATTGATGCGGTGTCTTCCTCTGATATGCCATCTCTTCGTTATCCCCTTTGGCGACTCGACAGGTTTTGAAGACTCTTCATGCTACGACGACACTCTCAAGACGCAGATTTGGATTATCATTTTTTTTAGTATTACACTTCTTCAAATGCAATGTTATTGCATACGCTTTGCATTTGAGGGGGGTGTTAAGGAGTATTAGACTATTAGTATTGGTCTAGGAGTCATTATTAGTCTATGTTTAGTTTCCTTACACCTCAGGTCATGTGTAATATATATATATGCCCCTTGGGCCTTCAATAAAGTTAAGTTGCTTTCCTAACAACAATTACTCCTATTAGCGACACATGTGACACGATTAACATTTTCAGTGCTGAGTGATGTGTTATATAGTACTAAAGACCCTTAGAAAGTTCATGCATATTTATGGTGTTATGGATCTCCAGAACAACTAAAAACCATGAAGCTAGTAAACCTTAGCTGGCACAGTGTAAAATGCTTTATGTGGGACTGCTGCCCCGTACCTCCATCAAATAAGGTACAACTTCAGGGGTAGGCTCATGAAACTCTGGACTCCTGTAGTCAATCACTTCATCAGGATCCTGAACATAGTTCACAGTTGGGTAAACAGGATCGCCACCCCAAACTGCATATTTAAATGTCAAACAATTGCATAAGTTCAAACAAGTCAAACAATTAACTTTATTTTATTCCAAGAGTGACTGATACTTCAGATGTAAAAAGATAAGAATTGTTCAAAAATATTTAAACGCAAAAGTGGCATGTGAATGATGAAACTGAAGAGAAATGATAAGTCATATTGTGTTCAACTCCAATGAGTTCTTTTCCTAGGTAAACCCGGTAAGTAGGCAGGAGCTGACAATTGTTTCTCTGTCTTTTGCATTAAGTTCCAGAAATGCATGTTTGAAGCAGTGAATAGAACTATATAAAAAATTACCAAGCAGCTTCTTCATTAAATGCATTCTAAGACACACGGCAGCAGCTCTTAAATACTTAACTCAAATTATATTATGTAGGAAAAAATCTAGATCATACCCTAAGGTTTGGGGCCAAGTCGGGACAACTCCCTGAGCGTTAACACCATCTAAGCAACCCCTTAATTAAATACCGTTTAAAACCATCTAGACTTTGCAGGATTATTAGAAAAGGTAATGTAAGATGAACTGCACATAACTACTCGGCAAAAGCAGCTTCTCGATGTCAGCAAGATAAATCAATCGAAAATTGGGCCAAAAAAATAATACTCTGTTTAATCTGGTCTTCACGCATCCTCATTGCCAAAGGATCTCGTTGTATACGAACATCAGTGCCCATCATGATACGATATTCCCCAGCAGTTTGGTGTTGAAACATTGTTATAAGTTGAGTATTTTCATCTTCACCAGTCTCCTCAAAGTGCTTCTGAATGGCTTCCCATGATGTGTCCTTTTGTTTATATGCTTCTACCCATTCTGAATAGTATGCAATTGGTCCTATTTCTTCTAGTCTCCTTTGTTCTGCTTCTAACCTGTGTTTATTGCGTATCAAATATAAGAGCCACTGCTATACAAGATAGTAATTTAGTCCTTACAAGTTACTGACAATGTCATGCTGAAAAAGCACTTGTCTGCCATGCTGAAAAACAGTTGTCCAGAAGTATTTTGTAATACACACTATAGCTAGATTTATAACTAGAACAGTACAGGCTTTGGTCAAAGTTCTTCCAGTGACGCATAAACCCATGGGTATTGGGCCTATATAATGTTCCACCACATATTTGTTACGATGCAACTCAAGGAGATTTGTAATGGAAGATGTGTTCAAATGAATGTTTCAGAATATGGCGGGAAAATGCGCTATACAATGCTAATGGTATTACAAATATTGGGAAGAACAACAAAGATTCAACATGAAGAGGAAGGTGTGCACAACTGCACATATGCAATGAAATGGTCCAACAAAGCTGCAGTGTATACTTATGAGCAATAACTATTGTGGTATTTACCCAACCTTTCCTCTTTGTGTAAATGTCTTCTTGTCTTGGCAAGAGCAGCTTCTGTTCTTGTAGGGTGATCTCCAAATATTTTAATCTGCCCAGTCTCGGCCATTGCCTTTGCAAAGACCTAAAAAGAACAAAACCAGCATTGCAATGTGGATCAAAATTGAAGCATATAACGGAGCTGGATGTGTCATAAAAACTAATTTGAACTAGGGAAAAAATAAAAATAAAAAACTGAATCAGGCACATAACATTAACTCGTAAACTGTACGACAAGATAATGCTTGCATGCCACGGTGCAAGCAATGCACACACAATACCAGTAGCAGAGTTAAAAGGGATGAGAGGGTCATTTGATATTTTAACACCCCTACCCCTACGCAAAATATTGGCTTCGTCATTGACTACACCACTCTGTTCACATTTACATTACATTCTAGAAGATGCATTGGAAAATCATGACAAACTAGCTTGAACCTGACAATGGTTCACACATACAGAATGACAGAAGGGCACAGTGCCATCGTTATGCCCTAGTGCAACTAGTGTCTGTGCTACCTGGACTGGGCACAAAAAAACTAGGATAGTAATTCCACATAATTGTGGTGCGGTAGAAGAACGTGAATCTCTGCTGTGTAGCTTATATTCTACTAACTGGCCATGTTGACAACAGGTAGACAGACACAATAAAAGCTATCACAGGCCATCATTATAAGTGCAGGCAAGTGAGAACTAACCGTGTCAACATCTGGGCGCCTCCTCTGCCATCTTGACCACATTTCTGTCTCGGACTTCCTCCTCCAATTCCACCAGAGCTCCTCGCTCGATTTCGGTTCCTCTGCCAACATCGCCTTTGCTGGGTCAACAAATGGGTGTGGCCGCCCCATCATCTTGTCCATCTCATACTCGCTCAAACTCTCCTCCTTGGGCGCCTCGTAGATGACATATTCATTCAGCGAATCATTTGCTTCCTCCAATGTATCATCTAGTGGAACCTCAGTGGCCACAATGAACTCGCCGTCATCTCCACTGGTCTCCGCACCTCCCGCCGCTGATGCGGACGCTACCTGCCCCTTGTACCCTTTCCTCCTGCTCCCGGGTTTCTTGCCAAGAGACGGAGTCCCGGCCGACTCCCCGACCGGTGCAGGTGCACGGGCAGCACGGACGCGGGCTGCAGTGCCCTCCGGCCAGTACTCCTGCCCAGGTATGCTTGCCCGGGCGCCTGACGCCGGCTCGAGCTGACCAGACGTGGAGTCGAAGTAACTGGAGTACGGCGGCGCTTCGATCTTCGACGGATCAAAATGGATAGACTCATCCTTGACGCACCTGATCGTGCATCTCCGCGTCCTGGCCGGCGCGACTGACCCTGCCTTTCTCCGCTGACGCAAACTAGCAAACACCTTCTGCGCAAGCACCGAGAACCTAAATTTTAGCACAGAGAGCAACTGCGCGCAGCCAATTTTCGACAACTTGGAGCGTCAAAGGCAGGTAATTACCGAGGACTTGCAGAAGCTCGGAACCGGCACGGCGGTGGAGGCAACCGGCGGCGGCGACATGCCTGCAGAGTGCTCGACGGAAAGCGGGGTTAGCGGGGAGGTCAAATTCTCTGGTAAGCGCGCGGAGCAGGACGGGGGTTTGAAGCTTGAAACGAGGAACATGACGTTACCTGGGAAGAGCCAAGGGTGGGAGCAAGACGCCATGGTTCTTCGCCGGACGCTGCGGTTGGTGGTGACCGCGGGGCCCGAAATCGAGGAGGATGAAGAAGCTGGAGGAGGGTTCAAGAAGCGGAGAGGGGGTTAGAGTTATCTGGATTTAGGTGCTCGGGAGCTGGAACTGGGAGTGGGTAGAGCTAGCCGTGTGTTCCATGGTTGGTCTGGCTGGGTACCAAGGTTTTTTGTTCAGGATAACGAGCAAGAAGAAAGGGGTTCCGGCTGGGTATCATCTTTGAAACCAGGGTTTTTCAGGGGATTTTTTAGGTGCTACAAAATGTCCCGCTCTCTCTTTTTATTCTTTCTTATTTTATTTTTTATTTTTATTTTGAGAAATGCCCCGCTCTCTCTTTGCCACCGAGTCGCATTCGGTTAAGTCGATAAATAAGATCTTATTTTTCCAAAAAAGCGGAGGTCATGTATTAGAATTGATTTACCCTTAAAAGGTCATTCTTGTAGAAACTTAAAATTACACATAGGTTTTTGGGAAAATCGACACCGCCTTCCTCTTGCACTCGTCGACGGCGCGCCGCGAGCAAAACTTGATACCGCCTATGGACCACCAAACCACAACCGGAGTCAGGGAAACGTTGTTGACGCGGAGCCGGAAGTCGTCAATCAGAATTAACAGATGTTGGCGACGACAATCTGAAACGCAAACCGCCGTCCCACAGAAAAAAAGACGATGACCCAAAATCCAGGGGGACATGACCTCGCAAAGTCACCGATGGCATCAAAACTTGCCATGGTGAGAGGAGTCAGACACCAAAGCACGAAGTTATGACTATGATTAGGTCTCGGTAAATACCAAACTTTGATAGGGTTTCAATAAATATCTAGTTTCTCCGACTCCAAAAGGAAGGCCTATAAAATATAAAGTTAAGTCAAATGGTGCAATATTTAACCAACTTTGTAAGGAAAACTGTCAACATCTACAATACTAGATATGAAAATATATTCATTTGTGTATGTAATGATATTGATTTGGTATCGTAGTTTGATATAATTTCTAAAAGATTAGTCAAAGTTTGCATCATTTTATTTCAAAGAAAATTTATAAGGCTTCCTTTCATAGACGGAGGGAGTACTAACCAAATTTGATGCAACTTTGTAATCATACTTTGTTTTTGTTTTTGTGCTCTTGTAAACTCATGAAAAACTTGCGGTACTTTTGCATGCATAGCGATGTGACAATTTTCTCTATACTTTTTCTAAAAAGGGGATTACCCCGGCCTCTACATCACAGAATGCACACAACCATATTATTAATCATGAAATAAGTTCAAGCCACCGAGTTCCAGACAGTAAAACAAATAAAAAGAAAACACGACCACAACCGGTCGAACTCGAGATTACATGGCTCATCTACATAATCTATGAGTGGCTCACCAACCAAACTAGTTGAATAAACCATGCGCATTTGGTTCCAGGCGGCTCCACCCAGAGGCCATTAGCGCCCAAGTGACCACATATTGTAGTGATGACTACGTTAGGATCGAAGCCATAGCCCTGTAGATAACCTGCAAGAAATTAGAGACAGACAATCTATTAAAAAACACAATCATTCTGGCAATTCCATATTTTTCAGAGAGTGGCACAAACTCCCACACGGGTTAGATTAATCGACATCAACCTAGAAACCAAATGGATCCACTTAGTCCATTATTCACCTAGTAATACAAAATTGAATGTTCAAAGGGATAGCCCCATGGACACAGACCATCGAATCCTCTTTTCTGAGTGCAATATTATACAAGGTCTGGTATTGTACATATAATGGAGTGTCACATACTCGTCGAATGGCCATCACCAACCATAAAGGAACCGCTCTTAAAAAAGAATTTTGACCTTTATCAAGCCCCTTCAAGCGATGAATCAGTAGTCTTAGCATCTACTTGGGATAACATCTTGGAGTTTGGGTATTTGTTATGCAGTAACTCTTGCCAATCACCTTCTTCATTAAGTAGTTTATATAGCCATTTGATGAGTAAACACTTGTTTATGATTTTGAGATTTTCAATTCCCAACCCACCTTGATCCTTATCCCTACACAAAACATTCCATTTAGCAAGTCTGTACTTTTGCTTCTGCTCCTTGCATGGCCAAAAGGACCTTCGGTAAAAGTGTAACTTTTCAACACCCCGTTAGGTAGCTCGAAAAAGGATAGCCTGAACATCGGTAAACTATTAAGGACAACATTGATGAGGTTAAGTCATCCTCCATATGACAAAAGCTTACCCTTTCAACTATTGAGCTTATTTTCGAAGCGGTCATCAATAATTTGTTGTTCCTTGTTGATGAGCTTACAGTGATGAATGGGAATCCCGAGGAACGTAAACGGAGGAGATCCCATCTCATAGCCAAATAGTTGCTTGTAGTGACCCTCCTCTTTGGCCTTGCCAAAACAGAAGAGCTCACTTTTGTGTAACTTGATTTTGAGACTCGAAAGTTATTTGAAAAGACATATGATCAACTTCGTATTAATTATTCTTGGAAGGTCATGTTCTATTAAAATTACAGTGCCATGTGCATACTACAGGACGACAGACACACCTCCATCAACCAGATGTGGATAAGCCCCCAACATAACCATCCTCCTTAGCCTTTGCTATGTGAATAGCCAACATATCCACCACAATATTAAATAAAATTAGAGACATGTGGTCACCTTGCCTCAATCCCTTCTAGGTTTGGAGATAATGATCGGTGTCACCATTGACCTTAACCCCAACACTCCCTCCCTGAACGAAAGAAGCCACTTGTTGCCTCCATTCGGCCACAAAACCTTTCATGTAAAGGGTTTGTTGAAGAAAATACCACTTTACTTTATCATAGGTCTTTTCAAAGTCCATCTTGAAGATAACTCCATGAAGTTTCTTATTGTTGAGCTCATAGATCGTCTCATGAAGGACAATCACTCCCTCAAGAATATTACGACCAGGCATAAACACAGTCTGCGTTGGGCACAACGACCGTATGAGGAATAGTAGACAATCTATTAGTGTTCACCTTTGTGAAGATTTTAAAATTGGCGTGGAGCAAGCAAATGGGCTAAATTGCTCAATCCGAAAAACATCCACTTTCTTGGGTAAACGTGTGATAATTCCAAAAGTTGAAAGGAAACAACGAAAGGTCATCATTGTATAAGTCCTCAAACATTGGAAGAAGATCAACCTTAATGACCCCCAACATTTCCGATAGAACTCAGTGGGGAAAGCATCTGGTGTCGAACATGCAAAGTGTATAAATTTCCTTCGGTGGTCGTTGTTGCTACCTACACATGGTGAGAATCAATAGAAACATCTCCTCCCACTGAACGAATATCGCCGAAGTCTGAAATAAATTAAGGAAAATGTGAGCACCAGTGCCAAGTTTAGTACTTGAACCATAGTGGGTTGGTTTCATCATAAAGAAACTAACCATTTGAGCTAGGCTCAGTTTGCTTTACTCCAGTTTTTTAGGTGTTAATCTAATTTATGGATTAGCATGCAAAGGTCAAGAACTAGCACCAACTAATTACAGACTACTCTCTCCAAAATAAAAACAAGAGCCTAAACTAGTATCCTCTTTTCTCCCAAAGCAAGCCTCATGGTCATTTGGACCAATCAAAGCCAAGTTGAGTGACTGAACAACTATATGATTAGTAGGTTTGGAAATGTGTTGGAATGTATTGAACTGCAAAAACGTCTTATATTTTGATACAGAGGTGGTATGGAGCAACATGCAATCCCTTTTTAGAGTTGAAGGGGTACAAAAGGAGCGAGCGCAAGGTAAGAACAAGTAAGAAACTAGAAGGTAAATAGCAAGTGACTGGAGGCACATGATTTATTTCCCAAAGTTCAAGTTGTTGGTGAGCTTTACACCTTCGTTGGAGAAGGTGAACACTTAGCACCGAAGTTACTTAGACTTCATTATATTCTCCTTAAGCTAAGTTCACTACTAGCCTGATTACTAATAGCGGATCTTGAGGTGATCTGGTCCTGAAGAAATTTATGGATCCATCAGATGGAAGCTTTTAAATGACGACTAAGTTTTTAGAAGACGCCAAATTCGAAGAGCAACGAGTAAGATCTCTGGGCTCAAAGATGCTCTTGATTGATGCTCAACTAAATCTCAATAACTCCTCTCTCTCTCTCTC